AGGTCCCTTCCAGCCCTAACATCTATGAAATCTATGAAATATTAGTGATTTTTAAATCATTTTTAATGAAATGCACTTTCCTCATCATACTTATAACTAACATGAGTTATATAGCATTCTTTACTATAAATAAAGAAGTCAGTTACTTAGAAGATACATACATCAACGATCAGGAAGTCCAGCCAGCACCAGGCATTAGTGAAATATACTTGAAAGCCATAGGCCACCCATTTTAGCACCATTTCTAGAATGAAGATGTAAGTGAAGACTTTGTCAGCATATTCCAGTATAGTCTTAATAGTTTTGTGCTGTTCAATATATATATCTTCAAAAGCCTGTGAACAATAAACATATTCAGTTACGTTTTTATAAGCTTTTGCAAGTTATAAGGTAGACCGTCTGACTCCAGAAGAAAAGAAAAGGGTAAAAACTTTACTTTTCTATTCTGTTTCTTTTCTAAAGATGGTGTTTAGTATAGCGTAGATTACAAGTAAATTGTGGAAACGTAAAGTTTTGTAGAACAATGTTGGGAGTAATCTATGGCCAATAAGAAGCTTGGTCAACTGTCATCCAGAACTTTTGTCACTCCAACAGGCCAAATCTCAGTTTAACAACACAATGTCTGGATGTCAATATTGAGAGGTCAAAACTTAGATAACTAGTGTATGTGGCATGATGGAACACGATATGTTGGCCCAATGCTAATTCAAATATCTCTGATTTTCAGATGTCAGCTCAAACAATTTATAGTTATAAGAAATATTAGCAGATACCTGTTTCTGTATGTCCCTTTTTCAAAACAAGTAGGCTTAGAGTATCAAACTGAAAAATGTAGAGGCCCTTGCAGGGCTTTGGCACAAACCTAAATTATCTTTTAAAAAATGTGTTTGGAGAATTGTGCTCATCAGCTGTGGCATGTAGATGTGTGAAAAATAAATGTAGAATGTTTGACTGATAGTGAAAACTCAAGTACTACCTGTTAAAAAAAATTAGAACAACTCTGTCTCAGTAATTTGTCCTAGGAATGCACATAGGAAGATCACTGCTAAAATGTGAATAACATTTACACTTATCATTAAAAACTACCACTTATACAAATAGACCTTGTTATATAACAAGCATCATCCTATGTGAATCCAGCAGCTCAGTACAGGATTTAATTAACTGGCAAGCAGAAAGTTAATACTCCTTCTCATTTAATCTATGTCCTGTTACTTAACCTTACATGAGTGCTCATGAAATCTTGAGATGCTGCATTAGCAACATGAATTTCAAATTTTCATGAGTCATGTCCTAGGACACT